CCAATCCCTTGGCTTGTTGTATTTCCTGGCATAGACTGGTGAGCATGTCCAGGGCTGCATCTGTTAATTGAAACAAGTCAACTGGTTCTCATAGATCCTTGGGGCCTTACATTTTTCCAGTGCCTTCAGTGCACCTTCAGCAACCTCCTTTTGAAGCATTGGCTCCTGCTTATATGATACTTCCTGAAATTTTTCTGAGTAAGTCAGGTTTTTTTCGGTATAGTGACTTTGTGTATCCCTCCATCTTCTTTTGATGCTTCCTTGTTCATTCAACGTTTGCTTATGTTATCTTTCAGTATTAAGAGTGACATGAGGCTTAAATTTGGTTTTCAGTTCTCTCAGCTTTCGCAATGCAGAGTAAATCCTTCCTTTTCTGTTCTCCTCATGTACTCTTAGCACATTCCGTTACCATACGTTGCTTTTGTCTTCTGGAGCTGCCCTTTGAAATCTTCTGTTCACCCCTTTTACTTTAGTGTGTTTTCCTTATTTTGGCTTCCCAGTGCTCTAGTGCAGTTTTCAGAATCTTCTGACATCTATTACGATTTTTTTTTTAATTTTATTTCTTCTCTGTCTTTGTAATGACCTTTTGCTCTCTTCATGGATTATATTCCTGATGTCATCCCACAAATAATCTGGTCTTCTGTCATAGATAATGCTTCAAACATATTCTTAAAATGATTTTGAATTTTAGATCTAATAGATTCAGGATCCTAAGTTATTAATTGTCTGACCCACAGTCTGTCCCTTATCTAGTTCTGACTGCTCATCTTGAACTTCTCCAGCGATTCCTTCCACAGATGTAGTCAATCTGGTTTCTGTGACCATTAGGTCACGTCGTTGTGCAAAGTCACTGTTTGTGTTTTTTAAAAAAGATATTTGCAGTTAATGTATCTTTGAAAATAGAAAATTTGATCATTCTATTTCCAGCCTCATTTCTGTCATCAAGTCCATATTTTTCTACTGTTGTTTTCTTCTTTATTGTGTCCAACTTTTGCATTCCAGTCACCAGTTACTAATGCATCTCGGTTTCATGTTTGGTCAGTTTCAGACTTCAATATTTGGTAAAAGTTTTCAATTTTGTCCCTTTTGACTTTAGCTGAGGGAGCATATATTCGAGTAGTAGTCATATTAACAGATCTTCCTTGTATGCATATGGACAATATCCTGTCACCACATTGTACTTTAAGATAGAATCTGAAATTGAAATTTTTACTATGAATGCAACTTCATTGTTCTTCTGTTTTTCATTCCTAGCATAGAATACCATGTGATTATCTGATTCAGAGTGGCCGGAGCTCATCCACCTTATCTCACTACTGCCTAGAATGTCGCTGTTTATGCGTTCCATTCCATTTTCACAATTTCTAGTTTTTCAACATTCATGCTTTTTACATCCCATGTTCCAATTATTAGAGGATACTTGCCACTGTTTTTCCTCATTTTGCTTGACTTCCAATCTGGTCTTTACCTCTGATAGGAGGATTGTGGATTGAAACAGTGATTGCTGCAGTGGGCTGTAGTGTTTCAGGAAGTGTGAGGATGGCACAGGATAGGACACGATTTAGATTTGTTGCTCATAAGTTTGCTATGGTTCATACTCGATGAGATGGCATGTAAAAACAAGTCTTCTCTTGCTCTCTTTACACAGTAGCCTCATGTTTTAAGTTTAGGAGCTTTTAAATGTTCTAGGATTACCCATTCTCTTAGTGTTAGCCATAATATGTTATGGTTCACACAGTCAGTAAATATAAAATTTTATGATATTCTCTGTTTTAAGCCAGAATCCATCTGACATTAGCAATGATATCCTTGGTATTGTGGTCTCTTCTAAGTCCTGCTTCAACTGCTGGTAGCTCTTTGTCTTATTTTAGCTCTTTGTAAAAGATCTTCAGCATTATTTTCCTTACATGTACTATTAATAAATTGTTTAATAATTTCCACATTCTGTTGTATCATCTTTCTTGGGAATGGATATATAAGTATATACTTATAAATACATCAAATATTTATAGTGATAAATGTCTGTATACATAGGTGTTTAACCATATGTTTATTTACTTTTGTTTCTTATTTTTCTCATATCCTTCATCAAAAATATAATTTTCTTTTGTATTTGTCTGAATGACCTCATTTACCTTGATCAAACTATATGTACTTCACACATGTACAATGCTGTCTTTTCCCTAAATACAACTAATAGGTATCTCCTATTGTGGGAGTGTTTCTCCTGCCATCTTTCACCTATATTTGCTAACTATCAGTGCATTATAGAAAAGATGGAGGAAAGATTGAGACTGTCAATGGCTTCATCTTACTTCAATACACTTGGTACCAGCAGTCAGAAGGAATACAGGAAATGCATTGGGAAACTAGAATTGCAATACAGATGTTTTGCAGTGAGGGACCTCACAAAATAACTAAGGATCAGTGATGTTAGTTTGAGGACTAAGATGTGCTTTATTCACACTGTGGTCTTATCAGTCACTTGCTATGCTGCTGAAAGCTGGACAGTGAATAATGATAGAAAAAAAACGTGATGCCTTTGAACTGTTATGTTAGAGAAGAGTGCTGAATACCCGAAGGACTCACAAAAGAACAAACATATTTCTTTGAGAAGGTCCACCAGAACGCTCCTTGGAGGCAAGGATGGCAAAGCTTTGTCTCACATACCTTGGTCATGTTGCTAAGAACAGCTGTTCCTTGGAGAAGGACGTCATGCTTGGAAAGGTCAGCACTCAGCCAGATGGATTGACACAGTGACTACAGCAACGGGTTTGAGTGTGCCACACACAGATTGTGAGTTTGGTACAGGATAGGACACAGTTCAGATCTGTTGTTCGTGGGGATATTATGAGTTGTACTCAACTTGCTGGCACTTGACAACAACAACCATCACCAATGAACATTTGGCCATGTTTATGCATGTGCACTATTAAAGCTTTTTTTAAAAAAAAATCTTTATGATAGTACCAGTAATCAGGAAATAAGGAGATGTTTTGCACTGAGAAAAACTGCAGTTAGGGACCTCTCCAAATTACTGAGGAATAATGGTGTCAGTTTGAGAAGTAAGGTGCATCTGATTCAGGCCCCTGGTCTTTCCAATTACATGCTGTGCACCTGAGAGCCGGACAGTGAATAAGGATAACAGAAACTAGTTGACGCCTCTGAGCCTGTTGTGTTGGAGGAGAGTACTAAACATCCCATGGATGGCCAGCAGAACAAACAGGTTTATATTAGAGAAGGTGTAGCTGGAGTGTTCTTTGAAGGCAGAAGTGATGAGACTTTGCCCCACACACTTTGGGCATGTTGCTAGGACGAGCTATTCCTTGGAGAAGGGCATGATGCTGGAAAGAGTTTAGGGTCGCCAGAGGAGAAGACCCCCGCCCCCCAACCAGGTAGATTGACACCATGACTGCTGCAAAGGGCTTTTGTGTGTCAGGAAGTGTGAGGATGGTGCAGGATAAACTAGGGTTCAGATCTTTTGTTCATAGCATAACTGAGTCATACTCGACAACAACTAACAATAACAACACTAGCAATTCAGTAGTTTGATCTTAAATTGTATTAGTCTAATGGTTACTTTTAATGATTTTTGTAGCTAACAGAAGAAGAAATGCATGAGTTATTAAATCATTTTCTTATTTTTTAACACATTCACCAATTTTGGATGATTACAACAAGTTCTAGGTACTTAATTTTTAAGTCTTAGTTGTTAGGACCTTATGCTGTCATTAACTAGAGTTTCATAATGTAATATATGCTTAAGTAAAATATAAACTTAATATGAAGCTTATCGTTAGAAACTGTGCAGGTATACTTAGTTTCATTTATAATTTTAAATATTTTTTTGCACATTTCTTTTTAGAATTTATTGAGTAATTATTATTTAGCTTATCATAGGGATAATAGTGCCTCTCTTTTTGTCATCATTTTGTTCTATGTCAATTATTCACTTTGTCAGTCTATCTTTCTTACCAGTAACCTTTTATAGTTGTTTGAGTATGTCTCTGATTTTAGCTTCATCAAAAGTAGGTATGATAATTTGTAAATTCACCTAACTAGGTATATACATCAAGGTGCATCCCTGGTGTTGCAGTGGTTAAGTGTGTTCTAACAACTTATTAAATACGTGCATTACAACCGGAATAAACAACTAAAATCATTACCCGTGGACACATTCTTCCTTTCTTCCTTAATATGATCTCGCCATTATTCAGGGTAAAAAAGAAATATATTCTACAGTTACTTTGGCAACAAGAAGTATGACTTATATACATTTGACAGTTAATAATTCTTTCTTTGTCTTCCCCCCCCCCCCCCGTTCCCTCACTTCCTCCCTTTCGCCCTCCCCTTTTCCCTCTCTCCATTTCTTTCTCCTTTGGCCTCTGAGAAGTCCGCTTGCTTATTTGTTATTGAGATATATTTCATCCATTCAGACTGTGTCCGAGTATAAGCTATGGCTCTAAGCTGTTCTAAAGTATAGAATACAGTAAAGCAGTTTGTCTGAGGCCTAGTTGATATAAAAGCAACAGGAACAGTAAATTTGTCCTTTTCTTTTTACATAAATATATACTTAATTATGATAATGTATGTATGCACTGTTCTGTTTGTAGGGGTTGTGCAAACAGTTTAGTATTTGACTACTAACCAAAAGGTTAGCATCTCAAGTCCACCCAAAAGTGCATCAGAGGAAAGACCTGGTGACCTGATTCTAAAAGGCCAAGATCATTGAAAACCCTAAGGCGCTATGTTTTACTGTGACTATGGATTACTATGCATTGTATTAGACAGCAGCTTTCTTTTTAGCTTTATCCCTTATAAATGGTTGACTTTATTGATACTCTGATGAATTGATATTTATGATTAAAATTGACTTCTTACGGTGTAACCTTTTCTCTTTTAACCTATTTTAGAAAATGATTTTTATTCCATTTTTTTAAATGTTCTTCTTGTAACTAATAATTTTACTATTTTCAGAGGCATGCTCTTTTACATTTCAGGAATATACAATAGATGTTTTCTTTCGACAAAAATGGAAAGATGAACGGTTGAAATTTAAGGGTCCTATGAACATCCTTCGACTTAACAACTTAATGGCTAGCAAAATATGGACCCCAGACACCTTCTTTCACAATGGAAAAAAATCAGTAGCGCATAATATGACAATGCCAAATAAGCTGCTTAGAATCCAGGATGATGGGACTCTGTTGTATACAATGAGGTATGTTTCCACATTTGAAACATTACATTCAAATCCTGAGAAATTCATATATTACCAGCGAATCTACCTATGCTTGGTATTAATACAAATTGCAGATTATTCAAGTGCATGTAACAAACTTGACTGTTAGAAATAAGCAATAAAGTAACATCTATTCTCATCTTAATGCATAAAACTTAAGAATTACCTCAATTATTACTAAGAGTTTATTTTTTAACTAAAGGAACTATTAATATGATAAAAAAGAGTTCATTATTTTGTGCCTCTTTAACATTTGCACTGTATTTTAATTCAGTAGATATTTAGATGCTATTACTTAAAATTTTTTTTATGTGAGCAATATAGCTTTATTTTTAAAATCCCATTAGGCCCCTATTAAAATTTTAAGTGAATTTTTTAAAGCAAGCTTTAATATTTAGATTCCCTTATCAAGTTACTGTGAAGGGAAAGAACCAACTACCTATAGCTTTAAAATTCATGTTAAAGTTTATATTTATGGCCCCTATTAAAATTTTAAGTGAATTTTTTAAAGCAAGCTTTAATATTTAGATTCCCTTATCAAGTTACTGTGAAGGGAAAGAACCAACTACCTATAGCTTTAAAATTCATGTTAAAGTTTATATTTATTAGGAGTTAGGATTATATTGGATACCCTTCAATAATGATTACATGACTTGGTTATTTTTCATAACAATCCTAAACACAAAATGACTAGATAAAGTATCATTTTAATAAATATTGTTCCTTGAGCTCTCATATATATGGCAATATCTTCTGAAAATTCACCCATGTATAAATGAACAAATACATATTCCAGTGCTAAATATGATACCTAATATGATGTTATTTTGGAAGGCATTCCTCATCATTAATTTAACTCTAGACACTTGTAACATACTTTGTCTTGATTTGCCAGTTTACTTAAACAAAGAGTGGAATTTTGACTTTTAGGCTTACGGTACAAGCTGAATGTCCAATGCACTTGGAGGATTTCCCAATGGATGCCCATTCCTGCCCTCTGAAATTCGGCAGCTGTAAGTACAGGGATGAAGGTTCTTGTTGTGTGTCGGTCATATCAGAGATTGTTCCCAGCACTTGAACATGTACCATTTCTTAGTTTCTCCATATTTTACAGAACGCTTCACGTTTTTCCAGTAAGATTCAGAAGCAAAGACATGCTGATTGCCCTCAAGGAACTAATTGGCCAGCTCTGTGATACTTCTCAAATATCATTATATATTAATCATGGTGCTTAAATTCTCAATTATTTTACTGTTCATAAAGGGCAGATATATTTACAAATGTGAAACTAGACCATGAGCAACTTGAAGGTCAGCATAATGTCATTTATTATCTTTTCTAAATGCTGGCACATTACCAAGTCATAATAAATGTCACTTTTGTGTCAACTACAAATGAATTGTAAAGAAAAAAGAATGGTGCCATTTATTATAATGGCACTCACCCTGTTGAGAGCAACAGACACAGAAGCAATTGTGTTCCTTCTTTCCTGTTAATGGACGGTTGTTTTGTGTGGTTTTTAACTTTCCTAAAATAAATCTCATTATGGTATAGCTGAATTGCTCTGTACATGCACCTTCCATGTAGAGAAAATCTCAGAGAAGGCTCTATGCCTTTGGCATTCTTTAACTCACTGGTTATACCTTGTTTGCCACAGTAGCATTCCTAACGCTGGAATGATTGAAAAGAGGGAAGGTTAAGACACCTCTCGTGGACAACAAAGCATTCAGGGCAGGTTTGTGATAAACTCATGGACCAGCTAAGTAAGCAGTTTCTCTTTGTCTGAGTGTGTCTTATCTTCTGACCTTATAAAGAACCTGTACTCTTCCCAGAATCTCAATCTTTGTCCATTCTGGCCAACTTTTGATTCTGTTTCAATAAGGAAACAGCAGAGAAATGCAGATCTTTCATTTTATCATATAAAGTATATCTCATGACAAAGTATCTTCTCATAAACTGTCTGGGTGGAGGGGAAGAATGAGGTCTAATATGCATGCAAAACCCTCCAATTATTTTTTCTGACCATGATTTTGTCGAGTTTGACGTTCAGGCTTACTTGTGTACATTCTTATAAAAAGGTGCAGTACTCAATTTTCTTTTAAGAATGCCCTCTTTGTTTAGCTACAAAGCCGCCTTTTATTGTCATGGAAACTATCACTTCAATACTGGCATGTCTTCCAAAATTATTTCGGATAGTCAATCATGTTATACAACGTAAACACGACGCTCAGAAAATACAGCAGATGCAGGGGGAATCTCATTTGCATTGCAAAAAATGGCATTAAAGAGAAAATTGAAAAGCTTTGACACTAAAGGAAAGCTTTATTCAAGATGCAGTAATTCTGTCAGGAGGAAAAGAATTATTCAGTGGACAAGGCATTAAGACATCAAATATAAAGTATCAATTATGAAAATAAAAACGCACCTGAGAAATAGTTTAAATGCAATCTAAAGTAGCCCATGTGCTCAATCTTTTGAATGGTGGTCTGGTGACCTCATGAGTAAGGAGTTACACTGCCAACCCAAAGGACAGTACCTTGAGTCCACCAGCTGTTCTGAGGGACAAAGATGAGCAGTCTCTTTTCTGTACTATTTACAACCTCTGAAAACCCACTGGAGGGTCAGCTGTGAGTTGATTCCAACCTGATGACAATGAGTGTGAGGTATTTCATATATGTATATATACCACACCTGAAGTGCAGGCTGGGTTTAGAAGGGGTCGTGGTACTAGGGATATTATAGCTAATGTTAGATGGATCTTGGCTGAAAGCAGAGAGTACCAGAGGAATGCCTGTGTTTCAGTGACTATGCAAAGGCGTTTGACTATATAGATCACAACAAACTGTGGCAGACTCTTGAGACTAATGGGAATCCCAGAACAATTGATAGTGTTTATGCAAAGCCTTGAGGAAACAGCTGGACATTCCAAGATAGGTGCTTTTGGTCAGAGACAATGGGAATGTTTGATTATAAAGGATTGTGGAATGAAGGAGCTCATGGAATGCCTTGGTTTTTAAGTTTGGTTGATTATATTTTGGAGGAACATACTTCTGAATCATACAGCACTCTTATGTCCGTTTGCCATACTGTGAGGTAATCTGGCTTTGCTGTGATGCCAAGCCGTGTGCCATTGGGGTGTTAAATGCCGTAACAGTTGCCTATGGTGGACAGTGTTTGGCGGAGCTTCCAGTTTAAGACAAGTTTGGAAGCAAATTTAATAATTACAAATGATTGGACAATATTTTTCTTGTTTATCAAAGAATAAAACTCAGATAAAATGTATCTGGTGCTTAATGAAATCTTTGTTGTTATATGTCATGAAGTATAGACTGAAGCATATGTGATTGTCTCATGGGCTTTCAGAAGCTGTAAATCACATGGGAGGAAACTGCCTGTCTCTCCCCCCCAACACACACACACACACACACACACACACACACACACAGAGCAGCTAGTAGACCAGCTACCTCAAAGCTGGCCTTTAGGTTGAGAATGGGACTCAGTAACCCGCCAGCCACCAAGGCTCCTTTAATATATAACCTAGGAGTAAGAAATGGAGCATCTGATAAATTTTAGTATACGTGTTGAGACAGAATTTCTAATGAAATATTTTTTAAAAAACAAAGCTTTTTATCCTTTTGTTAATTAATAAGGAGCTTGCAATGGCTTCTTCTTTCGGTTTCTATCTTCCCTACCAGTAAAGAGCAGCATTTAAGGATTCTGAGTTGGTTCATTTATCCAGCAAGAATGAACTGGGCAGTTTTTCCTCTGTGTGTGGCAGTGCACCAAGAACTACTAATATAGACCTGAATTGGGCAGTCTCAGCCCTTCGGCATCTCATTAAGCAGTTTCTAGAAAGTAGAGTAAGAGTTTAAGGAATTAGTTTTCTTTTATTTACACTTAAAGGTTGGATTTAAATTCTGAATTGGGGTAGGTGATCTGATTTTTAGGAAACAAATGTCTTAAATTAAGGAGCTGTGGTGGCATAGTAGGTAGGAAGTTGTGTTGCTAAGCCAATGGTGCTTGCTCTTTGGTAGTTCAAATCCACTACTTGCTACTTGAGAGAAAGTTGGGCCATCTTCTTCTTTGGAATTTATAGCCTCTGAAACATGCTAGAAGTCTGCTATGAAATGGTTCTGACAAAAAGACTGCCACTCCTGCTCCCAAGAAAGACAATGAGTTAAAGTTTTTTCGTGTTGTATGATGAAGCCCTTCTGACGTTTGGCCCATAGGACACATCCTTGTTATCTGTCACAGTGTGTGTCACTTGAAATTTGATTCAAAATAATGGTATGTATTATGGATTGAAGCTCAATATTAAGAAAACAAAGATTCTGATCACTGGGTCGATTGGCAGCATAGTGATGGATGGTGAAGAGATTGAGATTGTTTGGTTCCACAATCAACACTCTTGCACCAGCAGCCAAGAAATTACAAGACGTATTACGTTGGGAAAGTCTGCTGTCAGAAATCTCTCTAAAGTTCTGAAGAGCAGTGATTTCAGTCTGGAGACTAAGGTGCCCCTGATATAGGCCATGGTCTTCACAATCACTTGCTATGCATTAGGGAGCTGAACATTGACTAGGGGTGATAGAAAGAGAATTGATGCCTCTGAGCTGTGGTGCTGGAGAACAATATTGAATGTACCATGGACTACTAAGAAAACGAACAGGTTTGCCCTGGAGTGGGTTAAACCAGGCTTTTCCTTGGAGGCAAGGATTCTGAAGCTTCGTCTGACATACTTTGGGCATGTTGCAAGGAGGGATCAGTCCTTGGAGTGGGATGTTATGCTTGGGAGGGTGGAGGGACAGTGAAAGAGAGGAAGACCCTCAATGTGATGGATTGATTCAGAGATTTTGGTAATGTTGGTAGATGTGTCAAAGATATTAAGATTGGCACAGGCTAGAGCAGGGTTTAGGGCTGTTGTACATAGGGTGTTTGAATTGCAGACAACTTGATGGCACATAACAAAAACAAAAACAACCTTCCTAAGATAAATTTTGTCCAGTAGCTAGACCAGGAAGTTATTGTCCAAATATAATCAAGAAAGGTGTGTGCCAGGGAATGTATTCTTTCTCCATACTTATTCAGTCTGTCTGTTGAACAAATAATTTGCAAAGCTGGACTTTATGAAGAGGAATATGGCATTAGAACTGGAGAAAGTCTCATCAACAACTTGCATTATGCAGATGACACAACCTTACATGCCAAAAGTGAGAGGGACATGAAACTGCAGAAGTGAAGAGGACCTGCTTGCAGCAGAACATTTAGGACTCCAGCTTAAATATGGTTTACGTATCATCAAGAAGATGAGAATTGTCATCATTAGTCAGTAGGCACCATCATGATAGGTGGAGAAAAGATTGAAGTTGTTAATGATTCATTCTTGCTTGGATGAGACATGTTGCACTGGGCAAGTCTGCTGTCAGGTATCTCTTCGAAATACTGAAGAGCAGTGATACCAGTCTGAAGACTAATTCAAGCCATGGGATTTTTAGTCACCTGATACTCAACTTAGAGCTGCACAATGAACAAGGATGACAGAAGAATTATTTATGCCTTTGAGTTGTGATGTTGGAGAATAGTACTGAGTATCCCATGAACTTCCAAAAGAATGAACAGAAAGGCTTAGAAAATATTCAGCTAGAATGTTCCTGAAGGCAATGTGGTGAAACTTCATCTCTCAGATTTTGTGCATATTGCTAGGAGCTGTTCTTTAGAAGGGGGCAACATGGTTGGAAAGGTAGAGAGTCAGAAAAAAAGAGGAGGACCCTTAACAAGTTGGGAAGACACAGTGACTGCAGAAATGGGCCCAAGTGTGTCTGAGATGATGAGAATGGGACAGGGTTCACATCTATTGTTCATAGGTTGATGTACTACTGGACTCAATGGCATTTAACAGAAATAACCACTAGGTGATCTGTACATGTGTTATTATTTTTCCATATTATAAGTAATTTTCCTTAGTTAAGCCACTCATAAATGATTAACTAATTGAAATGAGATATTTTAT